ACTACTTTTTCCGATGGGTTTTTTGAAGTGCATCTGTAGCTCTACATTATAAGGTTGCATCCTTATACAAACTTTTTCCTATAATGAGGGACAAAACTCTTGTCGACCCTTTTCTTCAAATAACAGACACCTTCTATTGATCATTTTTATTCAATAGTAATGCTTAATTGTAGAATACTAGAGTGGGGCTAGTTTTTAACTTTCTTTATCCATCTCCTTTCAAAAATGCTTTTCCTATTCAAAAAGCTTTCTTTTTTAATAAAAAATGAGGAGCCCACTTTCCCATGCCATCTTCTATTGTTTAGGCAAAAAGGTATTCTTCACCTAGGAAGTAGAATGCAATGCTCATTTATCCCTCGGATAAAATCTCATTTAGAATTAGTATTAAGAACCCATATTTAGGGGTTGTAACCTCTTCAAGCCATATATGAATATCAATAAAAAATTTCTAATTGTACCTCTATACACTTAAAAAAAATTATGCTATTGTGTTTTTCAATCACCACTTACTGACACCTTTAAAATAGCTAATACTAAAAAAAACGGGTAGGCCCTTGTTTTTCTGCTGAATTACCCCAAAAAGTAATAATAATAATAATAAATAAATAAAATAAAATAAAAAACAAGAAAGAAAGAAAACAAAGCTTATGAGGAAGCAAAGGGCGGCCCTATTTAGGCTCGTCTGAAGAGGCCTTGGCCGAACCTAATAGACCTAAATAGAAGAAAAAATAAAAAAAATTAAAAAAAAACAAAGGCCCAGCCAGCCAGGGCAAAAACTCCGTTGTCATGTGGCGTGGCCAGGCTCAGGCCTGGCTCATCCTAACCTTGTCCCCACCATTTTATGCCCAAGTTGGGGCCGCCAGGCTTATTGCCATTCCTATTTTCGGGTCAAAGATCGAACTTCCTTAAAATGTGTCGCAAAATAATTGGTGTGACAGTTTGGTGGCGCCACTTTGATAGCTAGCTTTCCACGATAAAAGCCTACTTAATTGGGCACACAAGTGTTCTGCACATAGTGCAAGAAGCAAAAGAAAAAGAAAAGGACAGCCTCTATGAGTCCATGTAGAAATGAGTGGACTCTTAAAAATCTACTTTTTGAGATGATTTTCGGACCCAATTTTCAAGGGTATATAATCTCCAATATAGAAATTATGAATATAAATAAAGTTTAAGAAATAAAAATAATGATTTTATGAAGAAAATATTTGGATCCTTAATTTCAATTGTTTTTAAATGGACCACTCATTTAAAAATGATGCTTTATAGGCATATTGTAGAAATGCGATCCAAAAAACAATTTTTCAAAATAAAATAATAGAGAATAGAGCCAGGAGAAAAGCTATCACAAGGTCCAAACAACCCAAATCAATAACACTATCAACCATCCAAAAGCTTTTTGGATAAATAATAGGTGTTGGGCCAATTGGGAACCACGGCAATGGCAATGTGATGCTTTTATTCATAATTACTTCCATTTTTTATGGACTTCCTCTTTAAAAAAATAATTAACCAATAAATAATCGAACCGTTTTTTCTCCACAATTTTAAAAGCAACAGAAAAATGTTTGGGTGAAAGTTTAAGTGTTGCCCTTCACTTTGGAAGAGTATAGATGAGAATATAGCCTAGACCAAAGAAAAGATTCCAATAGGTCTTTTTCAACGGGGTGCTGTTTGTATTGAGCCGAGGCTCTAAACAATCAAAATAAAGCTCACATTCAGATAGTATTGAAAAATGTAGTTTCTATATTGAAAATCTTTGTGATAGCCTTAAAATATATTTTCATCTTTAATTATAAAATCTAACGCTTCAAAAATATTGTAGATCAAGCAGATCTATGAAAATCTTGAAATTGACGGTCCAAAAATGAGTTACAAGATATACTATTTTTTTCAAAATTTGAAATCTATTTTTTTCTCATCTCCATGCATCTTGATGTCGAGATGGTCAATTTGAAGATATTTGGGCATTAAAACAACTTTTTCTAATGAAATTTTTAAATTGGGCTCTAATTTGATTGTTTAAAGCCTCTCTCTATATAAACTTTTTCCTTTCTAGATTATCTAGTTAAAAATAAATTAAGTAATCAAGGAACAAATCACTTATGCTCATTGGATAACTATAGTTAATACAATAATGGTTGCATGCTTTTGGTTATAGGTGAGCCACCGCCAACTTGCTTAATTTACTACAGATTTGGGGAGTCGTTTTATGTTTTATTATAATACAAGGAATTATTGTTCTAAAGAAAAGGTTATCCATAGTATTTGGTATTTTTATTACAATATAATAAAATCATTTAATTAAAAAATGTTCATAATGTTTGGTATGATTCTAAATTTTGCACAAATTCTCCTCATCACAATAATCAATCTAAAAAAGAATAAAATATTGAATTTGCACTTTAGGAAGGCCAAACGAAGCTCCTCTTCAACAATTGATATGTACTGTCCATTAGGTGGAGATTAAGATTTACGCATTTAAAAACTCAAAATCATTTTTTCCCTTCTTAAATTGTTCATTTAATGATGATGGGGCCATCTAAAATTTTTTGGATAAAATAATCCCACAAGTCTTTAATGTAATCATCCCATCAAATGAATGACCTATGTTTAGTGAATTGAAATGCTTTTTAGGGTGCATTTTTTAAAGTTTTTTTTTTTTTTAGATTGTGCGATGCAAACTAAAAGATTCAAATGAATGACCTATGTTTAGTGAATTGAAATGCTTTTTAGGGTGCATTTTTTTAATTTTTTTTTTTTTTAGATTGTGCGATGCAAACTAAAAGACTATATATTTACAGGATGAGATTTCTATAAGGCGTAGGTTTTATGAAAACTAAATAAAGTCTCACCTCAAATCCTTTAAAAGTACTTTTGATAACAAAAAAATCTCCATGATGGCCCTAATATCAATTTCCAACACTGACAATAAAATTTGAAACTCAACAATGGTACAGAACTTGTGGATCTATTAACACTTATTTTAAAGGCGAAATTGATGGTCTAGAAAATTTGTTACAATATACACTATTTTTAGAGCTTGAATTTTATTTTATTTTTTACAACCATAATGTTCAAGCCAAGATGATTAATATAAATGTTTTCTAATGCTTGAATTGCAATTTGCGATGAGATATGAGAACATGCTTTATTTATTTTGATAGAGTTGTAGCTCTATCAATGCTGTGAAAGAAAAAAAAGGTATGGAGGATGGGGAAGATATCGGGGAAAGTAACTGTTTGGAAGCTGTTGTGGTAAATGTGAAGTTTGATTTGTCTTCTGGATTGCTCGTTGGGGCTAGGTTTCTTGTTGTGGGTTCTTTCTCTCCACCATCTAATGATATTTTTGGATTGAGCGATTGGGCTAGAAGGGGATGGGGCTTATCTTATGCCCCTATCGTTAAGATTTTGGGAGCAAACAAGATTGTTTTCCTTCTACGAACCAAGGAGGATGCTAAGGTGGCCCTGGGTAATCGTTTTTTAGTGTTCGAGGTAAGCTTTTTATCCTTAGATTATTGAAATCCTTCGTCTCACTTGTCTTATCTACAGAAGGAAAGTCTTTGGATTAGTCTATCTGGCATTCCCTTCCATGCTTGGACTGTAGATACAGTCCGTAAGGTGGCCAATTGTTGTGGTGAGTTCTGCGATATTGATAGATATATAGTTCATGGGATTGACTTAAGAGCTGTCATAGTCCGTATCTGGAATCTCAGAGGGGCATCCATTCCTAAAGCCATCCGATTGGTTGTAGGCCATGACTTTTGCTATCGGGGTCTCCTTTGAGATGAGTAAGAAATCCATTTCATTGCCTAAGGTTGTCCCTCAAGCCGAGGGAGGATGGAAGATGGTCCACCACCATCATGCGCAGATGAAGGATGAGTTGTCTATCCCAAAAATTGATTTTCCGGCGACCGGTCACCAGAAAGAGTCACCAGAAAGAGCAGAAGATGCATGGTCAACGTCTTTTTAAGAGAGGCGTTTTGAATTTTCAAAATTTGAAAATTCGTAAAAGATGGATTCTGGTGGGGCGTTTCGCGGATTCTCCAGCTAGTATTTCGTTAGGCATTTGCAAGGAAAGTGCAAGTCTAGAGCGACAAGGTGATCGTGTCGGTTCACCACCGTTTCAAAATCAGAATAGAGGCGGTGTATCTTTGCATGGCATCATTGCGGCCCAAGTCATAGAGAAGGATTGCGAGATGGAAGCATCCCCGACTTTTATGCCGGTGGGAGTAGGTGTGCAGCCATCATTGCCTCCCTCTCTCTTTCCTGTTACATGACCGAATACGGTGCTCCTCTCTCTCTTACCTGGTCTAGGACTACAGGGGGTGACTGACCTTAAATACCGCCATTTTAGCTGGTTCTTTTTCTTCTTTGTATTCGTGGTAGTTGGGCAGCGGCTGTTCTCT